GTTTAATAAATATTCTATCTATTAAGTTATCTATCTATCTATCTATCTATCTATCTATCTATCTATCTAGGAACCAGGACTTCTGTGAGAATTTCTTCATCCCCAGATCAGTACTTTAAAAATGGTCGCTTTTTATATGTGGATCTGAAGGTCAATTTTCAAGATGCCAATTTTTTAAGTTAGAAAGGCTTGTTTGGACAATTGGACCTAATATTAAACTTTTTGCTATAAGTTTTTTCTCAGTTGCATCCTTATAATCTTTGGCAATATGTCCCATTGAACTTCACAGGAAATGTCATATTTCAAAAGTGGTAAGTTTCTGCTCAGCCATTTTTTAACATATCTGGTATAAGGCCCAGTGATATGGAATAGAGAAGATTCTAAAGATGAAACTCACTGACAGTGAACAGAATAGACTTATCTAGTGGCAAACCCACCAAACACCAACTTGTACTTTGGAAAATGCAACTTATAGTTTAATAGCCACTATAAAACCAAGGGTTAATTCACTGGCTTTAGAAAAAGAAGAAAAAAGAAGTCATAAGAAGGGAAAACAGAAGAATCCTGTAACTTCATTTCTGGAGAGTTTAATTATAGGTTCCAAAACTTAATTTGCACCAACCATCAATGTCCCAAGAACTCCAAAAAAGCCTGAACAGTGGTTACACTGGTGCAATAAATTATCATTTAAAAAATTATGAATGTTTCATTCACTTTTCTTCTTCATATTCTTAAAATTTGCTTGAGGACTTTGTCTTTGTTTATCTTGCTGCCCAAAACAATGAATGATATTTGCCAACTAGCTACTCTTGAGTGCAATGCCAAACACTGTTCCTGTTTATGGAACATGCCCTTGGTCAACATCTTCATTTTCATGCTAATATTGCATACTAATAGTCAACCTATCAAATATATTCATTCAGTATATCCTGAGGTAAACTGGGGGGATGAAAAGAAGTTTAAGATACTATTTGACTTGCCAGGAATTAACAATCTAGTTGGCAATATAAAATATATTCATGTGAAAAGATAATTACCAACCTAAAACAGGAAATGTGAAGTGCCAAATGAGTACTATAGACAATAAATGCTATACAGTTTCCAAAAAAGGAGACCACAATCCAGGACATTCTAGCAAGCGTTCCTAAGGACATAGGATTAAAGGTGGGCAGGTAGAAATTTAATAAGGAGAGAGGAAAGGGGAGGTCTCTGGGAGAGTGACAGGAGTGTGCTGATAAATGTGTAACAATGGGCTTTTCAAAAATGATATACTCATGATACACCTTTAAGTTTGATCTATGTTATTAACATTTTATGAATCTTTTTCTTAATTTTAGACAATTAACAAAACAATAACTCAAGCCATGATTTGTATTATATGCTGATTTCTGAGATGTAAATACATACATTGAAAATTTAACATGGACTCTGAAGCCAGTATGAGCTGGCTCCAGCACAACCTAGAGGTGGGAGATATGAGCAGTGATAGGAAAGAGGGAAAGTTTTGCTTATGAAAGTAGAACCGGGCTGTAAAGAAACATGCAAGTTAAAGAGATTGGGCAGTGGAATATAAGGTCTTTGAGGACAGGGACTGTTTCATTCTTTGTCTTTGTGTCTTATGTAGCACATATGTAGCACAATGATGTACATAAGTGTCTGTAGAACTGAACTGAGTCATCAATTTAATTTAACCTGGAAAAATGAAAGGGAGTAGGGGAAAATGTCAGCTATTTTTGGGAATATAAAGGGCTCTCAAAGGTGAAAACCTTAATATTTGTTTTCCTTGGCTCCAGAGGATAAAAAAAGGAATGATGAGTAGGTATTGAAAAGAGGCAAATTTAGGCTTGGTGAATAAAAAAGCCTTAGTAACCATTAATACTATCTAAAAGTAGAATGTACTGTTTAAAAGGAATGATGGGTTCCCCATCACTTGAGGTTGTCTGTCAAGGGCTAGATGACAATTTGAAAGTTGTGTTGTTGAAATGATTTGTTTTGGGGTATAGGTTGGACTAGATTGCCACTGAGGTTTCTCCCAACACTGAAATTCAGTGATTCAAGGATCCTCTAGACCAGTAGTCTGCAAACTTTTTTCCTCATGCATCACTCTACTGTGATAACCTAAAGGCATTTCTGGATATGAGTATGACTTGCTGGATAGAAGTCACAGCAAATAATAACAGCTGGCATTAATATATTGCTTTAAGCTTTACAAAGTACTTTGCATACATTATTTAATTGGCTTAGTGTGAATTCTGTTGCTTATTGATTTTGAAGAAATCATTTAATCCTTATTTGCCTCAGTGTCTCCATGTATAACCAGAAGTAATTGCTACTTCCATTTGTTGGAGAGAACATAGTATAGTGGAAAGAACACTGGATGTGGATTTAGAGAAGATGAGTTCAGATTCTACTTCTAATGCATATCATTTGTGTTAACTTGGTTCATTCGGACTCTTTGGATTTTAATTTACTCACCTTTAAAATTAAGATTAGTTGGCCTCTGAGGTTCCTTCCGGTTCTCAGTATGTCATGCTATTATTTGCCTCAAAAGGGCAGCATTGTGAAGATTCATGCTTTCTTTTAAATTGTTTCTTCTTAGGTGTGATACTTCAATATTTCAAAAGATCTGACTCCATTACATATATATGTATATAATGTATATATACAGATAGATAGATAGATAGATAGATAGATAGATAGATAGATAGATAGATAGATAGATAGAT